ATTCATGGTGGACAATGCCTTTGATGTCAAAAAAAGATGTGTATAAGAGACAGGTTTATTATATTATATTTATTACATCAATTTCTAATCAAATTAAATTTTGAAGAAAAAAAATATTTGAAAAAATTTCATTGGAAAAAAATGTTAGAAATTAATGAGATTTTCAGTTTTAGATTTGGCGGTGCTGTATATTATATTCATATATTGCTGCGAGCTCTTAGCGCAAAAGTGAGAAAGAAATGAAGAAGCACTTTAAATACATATGTATGTATGTGTGTATGTGGGTTTAAAGCCGGTAGATAAAAGAAAAAATTCAATATTATAAAAAAATGTCAATAAAAATTATGTATAATAGATTTTTTAAAGACAAATTGTACACAAAAATTGTTTGCAGTTAAAGAGCAAAAATATAAAAAAAAATTATTTAAAAATATATCAACTTATTACAGCTTGTACTAAATCTGTTAGAATTTTTAATATTTTAATTTAATTTTTAAGTTTTCTACACTCCCTAAATATTCTAAAAATTTTCAAGAAATCAAAAATCATACCAATATTACATATACTATATATAGAGCATATAAAACAGAATTGCATTAACAGCTTTCCGTTGGAAATTTACGGCAACTTAAAGCCAAAGTCCTGCTCGACACTCAAGAGCACGTTTTCATTGCATGCAATTTATGAAATGTCACCGCCGTTGAACTCTGAACTTGAGGCAATTTATAAATACAACAATGTACAACGGTCATATAGGCATGTATTTGCTGCAGAAACAGCAACTACACACTCACGAATACAAAAGCACCGAAAATGGAATATCAATCAAGGTGAGTGAGCACACATCCTAACGCACATATATATAAACACATACTGGCATACATGCAACAATTTCCTTCCTTATTTACAACAACAATAACAAACACATGTTTTGGTTGACTGGCAACATCATTGTTTCTTACAGCCGAAGTGCTGCCAGTTGGGCGCCCAGCAGCTGCCACATTGCCTGTGTCTTTTTTTACCGCCTCCAGCAGTCATTTTGTGCTGCATAGTTCTAACGTCTAGACGCTTATTGTTGTATTTTAAGTTTTATATTTTTGCCATAGTCATTCTTCTCCGGCTATTGTATGCGGTGGTGGTCGCATATATGAGATGATTCAAGAATAAATTGAAAAATTGTAAAGTTCCTTTTGGGCTTGTAGGAAAATTAAATAAAATAAAGTAAAATAAAATAAAATAAGATCAGATGAAACTAAATGAATTTAAAATAAATTAAAATTAAATTAAA